TAATTAAACCTAATGTAAGTAAGGTTTAATTTATTAATTAGACTTAGTTAGGGCTATGTTTAATTATGGTTTAAGGAATAATTAAACCTAATGTAAGTAAGGTTTACTTGATTAACAAGACTTAATTAAGGCTAAGTCTAGTTAAGCTTTATTGGTAAACATAATGTAAGTAAGGTTTAATTCATTAATTAGACGTAATTAGGGCTAAGTCTAATTATGGTTTAATGGTAATTAAACCTAATGTAAGTAAGGTTTAATTTATTAATTAGGTATAATTAGAAGTTAGAACTAATTGAGGTTATGGTGTTAAACTTAATGTGCTTAAGGCTTAACAAGGTTTAATTAGGTCAAAATGTGGTTTAAAGCTAATTAGGATTTATTTAGTTAAACCTAATGTAGTTAATGTTTAACTATGGTTTTATTAAGTCTAAATGTGATTAAGATCTAATTAGGGTTTGTTAAATTAAACCTAATGTAGTTAAAGCTCAACTATGATTGAATTAGGTCTAAATATGGTTTAGGCCTAATTAGGGTTTGTTAAGTTAAAACTAATGTAGTTAAGGTTTAACTAGGGTTTAATTAGGTCTAAATGTGGTTTTGGCCTAATTTAGGGTTTGTTAAGTTAAACCTAATGTATTTAAGGTTTAAATAGGGTTTAATTAGGTCTAAATGTGATATAGGCTTAATTTAGGGTTTTTTAAGTTAAACATAAAGTAATTAAGGTTTAACTCGGGTTTAATTAGGTCTAAAGTTGAATTAAACCTAATTAGGATTTTAGGTTCACCTAGATGAAATCTTAATGTCAGATTAAGACTGGGTTGAATGTTTTGTCATATTTAGGGGTGTAAATGAGCCGAACACGAGCGAGCCATGCTCAGCTCGTGTTTGCCTCGTTTATATTTCGAGCTCAAAAAGTGTGTTTGTGTTCTGCTCGTTTATATTTTGAGCTCAAAAAGTGTGTTCATGTTCGGCTTGTTTGCTTAACGAGCCGAACACGAGCCGTTCATAAACAAAGAGTCGTTTTGACAACCATAATCAAGTAGCCATAAGATGTTAAAGATTGTGGCAAGATCTAAAGCATCATTTGAATCTAATTTAAAAATTTTTATTCTATTTTCTTAATTAATATTTTTAATTGATTATAAATCTTTGTAGCCATATATAATTGAATAGTAGTACTTCGAGCCAAAACGAGCCGAACAAGAATGAACAAATATTTGTTCGTGTTGTTCGTGTTCAGCTCGTTAACTTAGCGAACGAGCCAAACACAAACTTCTTATTAAGCCGAACACGAGCTGTTCACGAACAATGAGCC